GAAATGATGGATGTTTCTCCATACTTTACGTATCGCAATGTCCACACCGTGATGTTTCTAAAATTTTTTTCTTTCCATTTCCTCCTCCTCCTTCTCCCCGGCTTTAAAGTAGCCTCTTTAAAGTATGATTCCACCGAGCATGTCGCAGTTTACGACGATACCACTGTTCAACCAAGTTGCTTAAACTGAAATTGAAGTTGAACTGATATGGCGCGCCATAAAAAAAAAACATAAAAATTACATTTACGCCATGGCGTAAATGTAATTTTTTCCCGTTTGGTAAAAATCTCTCTTTTTGTATGATTTCCGAGTACCCATGCAACCATGCAAACCATCCTGTGTGATATTACACGTGTACCTTTCTAGGAACTTACTTATTAACCAATATTGAACAAATTTATGGTATATTTTCAGGGTACTCAAACAATAATGTTGTCCTTCAATTGGTCTCGAAGCCGGAGCCAAACATCGACTCTCCTGACGGGATAATGACATTCGAGTCGCCGAATTTCAAATCAGAAATCAAGCTGTCAGAGGAGCTTATTATCTTAGACGACTTCGAAGGAGACTCAGAGGGTAAGAAGGAGATAATTTCCAAAATTGTAGAGGACATCGAACACATTTTTCTGCAAATGATGTAACTGCCACAAAAAAGATTTCGGGGTGCAATGGTGCTACTCAACTTGGTGCTCTTGGAATTCCGAGAAATGTGCGCTTCATTAGACTGGAATATAGACTTCACGAATTATCGGCACCCCCTTCAATCTCAATGTTCCATGAAAAAAAATAGCATAATATAATTAATTACTTCAACCTCTTGGCTATTCAAATAAATAATGATCCATAACCAACAAAAATAGCTCCTGCTATCAACTGCAGATACGGTTTATTTCAAACACGTCCACGATCATATAACGATCAAACTCAATTATATAATTTATCGCTCTAAAAATATAATTGATTTTTAGTTCACTTTAGTTCAGATATTTAAGTTTCATTTTTTATAGCCTTTAAAAATGTTTCTACAATATTGATATTCATTATCTAGGGCCTCCTATCATGGGAAAATTTTTTATACAAGTAGGAGCGTTGTTCTCCCTCCCATACTCATTACTTTTTTCCAAATGATGGCTTCAAATTCTGACCCATTGATCCTGAGGACATCAAGTGGCGTATTCCATCAAAAACGAAAAATAGACGATTGGACTGCATTTTGCAATAAGAAAATGCTATTTCTCGCTCATTTTAGAAATGTTTGTACCATTAATTTCCCTACGTAGATAGGTGCTTTTATAGATAGGTAAGCCAGTAATCACTTTTGACTCGAGTCGAGACGCGTATCTCCGCTGTGCTGAAAACTTTGAGTTTTCTTCTTGAAAACTGGAAAAAAGGCTGACATTTTTATAACGGAGTTTTTTTTTAAATTTGTATATTAAAGCTTGGAGCCTTCCCTCGCCTGTTTTTCTTTCTGATCCCCATTACAGCTGTCTCCAAAATAAATACCGAACGATCAAACGACCTACTTTAGTTTTTCACTTAGCTCTCCTTAGATTAGGAAAGAAGGCGGTGGATTGCGAGTGAACGGCGCGTACACCTCAAAACACTTCAGCAGGCGCAAAATAGGCAATTTGCACAGCAGGACTATGCATGTATCAGTGTAGCGTTTGAAGTATTTCTACGATGTTGAAGGCGCTTTAAGTGGTGCGCGCGGGCGGGCAACTTTCACCGTCTGCAATAATTGGAATTCGCAGTGGAAGCGAATTAAAATTATTAGAAGTGCATTTATTTTTATTGGAAGCTCCGTAGGTACTTTGCTTTTGATGAATACGAGTATGTTTATTTACTCCTTGCACACTGATTTCTTGTGTAAATTACTCCAGCTGTGGCTGGGTGAATGTTTCGTTGGTTTTACCTCTCTACCGTGGATATTTTTCTACTGAAATATAATGAAGTTATACTCCGATTGTGTCGTGTGATAGTGCGTGTATAGAAAAAACGGTGTGTTGTTGCAGGCTGATTATTGAAATTGATAGACAAAGCTCTAGATAAAGAAGACAAGAAGAGTATGAAGGGATCCCATTGGTGGTTACAATCGAAACGAAGGTAGGTAATAACAGACTAACGAACGGCAACCCACGAGTGACCCTGTAAATAGTTCATAAATTCATCATTTAGTCTATAGAAACCGTCTACTTCGATTCCTATAAGATCCTTCCATACTCCATATGGCTTCCTTGTCCATCGTTTTGTCTATCAATTTCAATGATCAGGCCGCTGGCGAAAACGTACTCTGGAGAACTTTCTGTACCCCTAATATGGTTTTCTATCGTTGTTTCAGGTCTTCATCGGGAGACGAGCTATGGCGACTTTCATGATCGGCTAAATCCAGTTGTCGTCCTGGAGAGATTTGACCTGCATCTAACAGGCAGCCGTTCAAATGCATCAGAAGCTACACCCTCATCGCAATTTATGGACGCGTTTCTCCAGGTGAAAACTGAGGTACAATATCACGTGACAGTTATCCATCAATACAGTGAAATGAGTCTTGTATGAATATTGATTGTAAATGATCAGCTCTCTCTGAACAATCAGATGGGCCTCTCCTCCGTCCGCGAAGTGGATCAAGCTATTAGGAGAGGTTGGACATGAGAGGTCGACGTGATCATAAATCCAATTTTTCGCATTTTTGGCACTTCAGGATGATCTTTCTCGAAAATTTGACAATGTAGGGAAAAGTTATGAAGCACACTATGCATGTATTTTTTTACAAGTTTTCCGAAAATGTACACAATTTTTAGAATAAATTCAGTTTTACACTTGTAAACTTGAAAAAACGCCTAAAATTGGTAAAAATTGGCAACATTGGACCGTTAGGCCTTTTAAAATCGATAGGAAGCCATTTTTGCGGCCAGAAATGAAAATTGCGTAGAGAAATATAGACAGTACGCATAGGCACCCACGGAGGTTGACTAAGGTCGAAAATCATTCAAAAGAGCTAGTTTCAAGTAAAGAAAGACCGCTAAACACGACATCTCGGTCAATTTTCACATCGTGGGAATCCGGGTACAACTATACTTTTTTGAAATGTTGTATATATGGTTAAGAGCTGTTATGTATGTCAATATGAAAGTTGTACCCCACTTTCTTGAACCAGGCGTAGCAATTTATCAAATTTTGGCTCCTTGGAACAATTTTTCTCGAAAATTTGGCAACTTAGAAAAAGTTTCAATCAAAATTTTTTATTCATTTTTCCGCGTTCTTTTAAAAACCGTATAGGCTCCTAGTTTAAATTGAGTTCTGCGTGTGTAAATGTAGTGTGAGTGGCTCCGACTCATACTTTAGGTAGCGTGAGGGCATAGGTACATTTTTTTCAGTGTACCTACGTTTCAAAGTGACGAAGAAACGTTTTGCGTGCTTTCAATAAAGTTTCCGCATAACGTCTGATTCCTTCAATTCAAACTTGCTCCACTGGGATCAGTTTGGTACAAATTTAATGGATAGGAACCAAGCCACATTTGGAAAAATAAACGAGTAACCAGTAATTAAGGGCCTAATTTATCCGTAGATTTTCCAAACTTAAAGTTAGGAATAAATATTTTAAATATGAAAATGCTGAAATATCAAACAAAGAAATTTAATTAATATAGGATTTTAAGTTTGTTTGTCGGCAAAGTTCATAATATTCTCAAAAATAGATATTTACAAGACAATTATTGTAATGTTCTGTTACAGATGGATTTCGGTTCATGCCATGCCTGTCATCACGATGAGGTCAAAGACAATCCAGAGATTTACAACCTGCCCATGAATCATCAAAAGTCGCCTGGACACAAATCTCAACATTTCCCCGAATCAAAATCCCAAGGAAGGATTGTTTCAAACAAAGATGAAAAACTGCTTCACCATATCTCTGCAAATTCCGTTCAAGTAGAAGATAATTTTAGTTCCCGCAAGAAATTTTTAAGTTCAAAAACTGCCTCTGACCATGCTTACAGCGGTGATCAAGCTTTCGCGAGAGGCTCAAACTCAACGGACATTGTGGAGCTTCAAACCGAGTATCAATCTCTCTCAAAAGATCGACCTTCCTCAAACGATAATTTGTTTGGTGGATTGAAATCAAGAGCTATATCTGAAAGGCACAAAACGGAAATTGAAATCAGCAATCGAATTTCCTCGTTTGATCAATGTGTTAAGGAATTTAAATCGAAGGCTCAGTTACGGTCACAAGTGGTGCACGTTCAAAGCATCGATCAACCCTACGCATGCGGTCAGTGCTCAAGAAAATTTAAACAGAAGGATAATCTCAAGAAACATTTGTTGTTTGTCCATAGCGACGATCGACCCTTCTCTTGCGGTAAATGCTCTAAAAAGTTTAGAATTAAAAATTCATTAAGGAAACATTTAAATCAGGTTCAATGCGATGATAGGCCTTTTTCGTGTAGTCATTGCGCAAGAAAATTTAAATCCAAAGGTGATTTAAAGTCGCATGTGGGATGTGTCGTCAGCATCAATCGACCCTACTCATGCAATCAGTGCTCAGAAAAATTTAAAACGATGGATTTTTTGAAAATGCATATCATCTGTGTCCACCGCGGAGATCGACCATTTTGGTGTGATCATTGTGTTAGTTCATTTAAATCGAATTCT